GTGTTCTATATGGTTACCAAGGAGAACAAACACTGTAGATATTCAGAGGTTATTGTCCAGGAAATAACCTTGAAATAGTGTAGCATCATGCATGGTTATCAAGGGAAAGACACAATCATAGTATTGCATCCCACATGATGTTCAAAGAGATGATGCCGACATCTTACAGCATCAAACGTGGTCATCAGCAAATTGACCCATAATATAGAATACTTTGTGGTCGTCAAGAAAAAGAGGGGGGCTGGACCCATGGCTTAGCGGTTAACTGCGTGCACTCCGCTACTGGCAGCCCAGGGTTCGGATCCCAGGCGCGCACCGACACACTGCTTGTCAGGCCATGCTGAGGCGGTGTCCCACATACAGCAACTAGCAGGATGTGCAACTATAACATACAACTATCTACTGGGGCTTTGAGGAGAAAAAGGGAAAAAAAATAAAGGAGGAGGATTGGCAATAGATGTTAGCTCAGGGTCGGTTTTCCTCAGCAAAAGGAGGAGGATTGGCATGGATGTTAGCTCAGGGCTGATCTTGCTCACCAAAAAAGAAAGAAAGAAAGAAAAAGAGGGAGACATAGTCTAACATCATTCATGGTAATCATGAAGATAATAGAGAGACAGCATTGCATCACACATGATATTTAATTTGAAGACACATACATAGGGGAGCAGCATATATCATCATCAAAAAGATGACACATAGAGTATTATTTGAGATTATCAAGGAAATGATGAAGTCATAGCATAGCATCATGCATAGCCATCAATGAAAGGATGCAGATATAGTTTACACCCCTACAAGGTTGGCAAAGACATGAATAATGGCATAGCATTATGTAATTACCAAAACATCCTGTACTACTAGCATACCATGATACATACTTAAATAAGAAATGATGCAGAGGGTGGCATCATATTTTTCTGTCGAGGACATGCTGCAGACATCAGGAAGCATCATTCACTGTCCTCAGGGAGTTTACCCATAGCATAGCTCATACATGGCTATCAAGGAGGTGAGGAAGTCACGATGCAGCATCATATGTAACATGTTAAAGGATGATACAGACATAGTGTAGCAAGATATGCGATTGTCAGGAAGATGACCCATAGCATAGAATCATACATGATTATCAAAGACATGATGCAGACATATCATATCATGTGATTTTCAAGGAGAGGAGTCTTCAGGCAGAAAATGCAAACATGCTATATGTCATACATGGTGCTATGGGCTGAGTTGTGTTCCCCCAAAATTCATATGTTGAAATCCTAACCCCCAGTACCTTGGAAGGTCACTTATTTGGAGATAGGATCTTTAAAGAAGAAATTAAGTTAAAATGAGGTCATTAGGGTGGGCCCTAATCCAATATGATTAATATCCTGATAAGAAAAGGCGATTAGGACACAGACATACACAAAGGGAAGACTATGTGAGGACACAGGGAGAAAACTGCCATCTACAGGTCTCAGAAGAAATCAACCCTGCTGACAACTTGGTCTTGAACTTCTAGCCAGAATGGTGAGCAAATAAATTTCTGTTGTTTAAGCTCCCCAGTCTGTGGTACTTTGTTATGACACACCCAACAAACTAATGTAGCAATCAAAGAGATAATGCAGTTACAGTATAGCATCACATGTGCTTGTCACAGACATAGTGTAGCATCACACATGGTTGACCAGATGACACAGACATCTTACTGCATCATACACGGCTGTCAGGGAGATTACCTATAACATAGCATCATACATGATTATCAAAAAAATTATGCTAACATAGTGTAGTTTCATCCATTGTCAAAGACATGATGAGACATAGTATAGCTTCTTACATGGTTGTCAAGAAGATGACCGGGAAATAGTGTAGTATCCTTTTGGTTGTCGGGGAGATGATGCAGATATAGTGTGGTGTCATACATTATCAAGGAGATGACACATAGTGTAGTGTCATATATGGTCATCACAGTGATGATATAGATACAATTTTGTGTCGTATGAAGATATCATAGATTTGACACAGGTATGAGGCAGACATATTGCAGCATCATAAACTGTAGCCAAGAAAATAACACAGAAATAATGTATCATCATATCCTGTTTTCCAAATGACACAGACGTAGTGTAGTATCATACACGGTAATCATGGACATGATGCAGAAATAGGTTAGTCACATACTATAGCATCTGATGGAGTTGTTAAAGAGATGACGTAGTAGTAGTATACAACACACATACTTGTCCAGGAGGTTTCACATAATGTAGCACGGTTGTCTAGAATATGATGCATATATGATGCAGCATTATACATGGTCATCAAGGAAACTATCATAGTATATAGCATCATACATGACTATCAAGAAAATGATGTGAACATAATATAGCTTCATATGTTATTGTGAAGAACATGATACAGAAATAGGATAACATCATACATGTTTTTAAGGAGATGACACAAAAATAGCACAGCATTTTACTTGATTGTCAAGGAGATGGTGTGGTTATCAGGATATGACACAGACACAGGGTAGCATCATACATAGTTGTCAAGGAGATGATGCAATCACAATGTAGCATCATAAATGGAGATCAGTGAGGTGGCACACTGTAGCATCACACAAGATTATCAAGTTGTCAACATAGACAGCATAACATCATACATGCCTACCACGGAGATGACGCACAATATAGCATCACACATAGTACTCAAGGAGATGACATAGCAAAGCACAGTGTCATGAGCAGATTTCAAAGAGATGATCCAGACATAATGTAGACTGATGCAGATAGAGTAGACCCTGCAGACATATTTGTCAGAGAGATGAGGTGGAAATATTACAGGATCACATACGGATCTCTAGGAAATGAAACAGATATGATAGAGTATCATACATGGTTATAAAGGATTAGATAAAGATATATTGTAGCATCATACATGATTTTAAAGAGGATGACAAAGACTGTAAATTAAAACATAGAAGTCAGGTATATGATATAGACACAATATAGCACCATACATGGTCATTAGAGGGATAACATACATGGTCATCAGATGGATGATACAGATGTAGTATAACATCATATTCGTCTCCAGAGAGATGATACAGACATAGTGTAGCATCATACTTGGCTATCAAGGTGGTGTGTTACAGGATAGCATCAACACATGGTTACCAAGGAGATTAAGCAGACTTAGTATAGCACCGCACAAGCTTGTCAAGGAGATGATGCAGATAGAGCTCAGCATTATAAGTGGTTTTTAAATGATGACAAAGTCATGGTGTAACTTAAAACATAGTCATCAGATGTACGGTACAGCATCATATGTGACATCATTGTGTTATTAGAGGGATGATGTAGACTTAGTACAACCTCATACATGGTCATCAGGTGGATGACATAGGTATGGTGTAGCATTATTTGTAGTCTTCAGGAAGATGATACATAGTGTATCATTATACTTTAGTATCAAGGTGATGACTCACAGAATAACATCACACATGGTCGTGTGATATCATGAGGTGACATAGCATCACATATGCTTGCCAAGGAGATGATGAAGATGGAGTGCAGCATGATACGTGGTTGTCAAGGAGATGAGGCAGACACAGTATAGTATCACACATGGTTATCAAGGATATGACATAGACATAGTGTAATGTCATACAGGGTTGTCAGGGAATGTTGCAGAAATTGTGTAGTGTTTTACATGCTTGTCAGGAATATATGGTTTTCACGAGGATGACTCAAAGTTTAGTATCATTAATTATCATCCAGGACATGATGAATACATAGTATACCAATACAGATGGTTGTCAATGAGATGATATAGACATCTCATAGCATTCCACGTGGTTTTCAATGAGATGATGCAGACACAGCGTAGCATCATATATATTTGTCAGCAAGATGAGTCCTAGTACTGCATCATACATGGCTATCAAGGAGATGATGCCAACATAGTATACATCATATGTGGCAACCAAGGAGATGATGCAGGTAGTGTGGTTTTTAAGAAGTTGATGTGAGTATAGGGTATTATGCATGGTCATCAAGAAGATGATGCAGACAGCATTATGCCCAATTGGTGATCAGGAAGATGATGCATACATAACGTAGTATCTTACTTGGTGACCAGCAGATGGAGTAGACGTAGCGTAGTGTAATGTGTTGTCATCAAAGAAATAACATAGATATTGTAGTGTCATCGTAAGTAGTTATCAAGGATATGATGCAGATATGGCATAGGATCGAACGTGGTTTTAAAGGAGTGGATGAAAACACAGCACAGTATAATACATCACTTTCAAGGACATGATGCAGATATAATGTAGCTTAGGTCCTGGGGGGATGAGACAGACATAATCTAACAGCATACATGGTCAACAGATACAATACAATACAATAGATGTATTGTAGCATCATATGTGGTCTTCACGGAACTGAGACACGCATAGTGTAGCGCCAGCCCATGGTTATAAATAAGATGATGCAGACATAGTGTAGAATCACAAGTGGTAATCAAGAATATGATGTATAGCATGGCACCTTATATGTTAATCACAAAGATTTGCTAGATATAGTGGAGCAGCACATGTGGTTATAAAGGAGATAATGTGGATTTATTATATCACCATAGATGGTGGTCAGGTTGATGAGGTCAACATAGTGTAGCATAATGCGTGACGGTCAGGGAGATGACCCAGAATATACCATTATATATAGTTATCAAGGAGATGAGGAAGACCTAGTATAACGTCATATGTTGTTGTCAAGGAGGTGACGCAGACATTATATAGCATCACACGTAGTTATCATGAATATCATATCATATCAAGAATATGATACAGACATAGTGTAGTGATGTACACGGACATCATAGAGATAAAGCAGATATAGTTTCTATCATAGCTGGTCATCAGGGAGATGAGACATAGTGTAGAATCATACGTGGTTATCAAACAAAGCATAGAACCCTCCATAAATTAAATATATGAACAGATTACCTACCATCAGCTGAAGCAGTTGCAATAAGCTTGCCAGTATAATCAAAACAGCTGTCTAGTATTTCATCATCATGGCCTGTTAATGTTGCCACACATTTTCCATTTGTAGCATCCCAAAGCTGCTTAAAAAAAAAAAAAGAAAAAGAAGACGACTATGACTTCCTGTCTTAAACGCAAAGATGGCCAGAAGTAGTCTTTACGACATGTTTATGGCTAGTTAAATAACAATGCCAAAGCCAACCATTTAACAAGGCACACTTTGGATACAGAGAAGACCAGAGACAGAAATTTAGAACAAGTGGTACAAATGTGCCACTACGTTAGGAAAAAATCTCAAAGTACATTCACTGATTGGAATGGAAGTGTCCTCTTTTTATAAGAAGGTCACTAAACGATAAGGAGCTTGCTCTAAAACTACAATACTAGAAAATGAAAAGTACATTAAAATTATAATACATTTGGTATATAATCAAATAATAATTCCACAGCATAAGCTCTTAGTAACAGAAACTCACAGGCAAGGAGACACTGTGTTGCGACTCCTTGATGTTCACTCTAATCAAAATTTAATAAACAAATAGAGGGGCATTAAACAAAAATAAAGCCTTTTAAGATAAGATCTTTTAATACATTTGAATCAATTACAATTGTTTTACTACATAAGAATTCCTTTAAACTTTGGGTATCAGAAACTTAAAATTTAAAAATTCCCAGTTATTATTTATAAATTAATATCTTAATTTTATAGCAAATTACTAGTTACTAAATTACACTTAATTTAGTAATTAACAAATTACTAAATTTGTTAGTGTTGCAATGAATACCTGACACAGTAAAAAGTACAGACACAAGAATTATAAAGCAGAGATATTTCTTGAGCTCACCATGCAGGTTTTGTCCATAGAGCCAGTTAATATTAGAGAGCAGTCCCAGTTGAATAAGGCACTGCTAATCTCAGCACAATGCCCAATTAAGGTATAGACCTTCCTACAAAATGCAAATGATTCAAACTGGTGAAAGATGCCTTACTTCAGGATATATGCACAAGTAATGATGCCAAGCCCATCAGTATAAGGGTCTACAGTTTCATTTTTCCAAAATAATGTCTTTGATGACAAAACAAAGATGGCTTTACTCTAGCTCAAAAAGAGTCAACTAGCCTACTAATTTCATTTCTATACAAATATACTTAAATTTTAAACAATCAAAGATAATAACATTACTTAAGACAACACTTCAGAAAAGAATGAGTAAGAAGTAGTAAGGGTAGTCTGAAATTCTGGAAGCTTTCTTACACCAGATAAGCAGACCCCTGGTAGTTCAGAAACTAACCATCAAATGTCTGAAGGGCCCTTCCTTCTCTCTGACTTCCTGTTGCATTCATCTAGATGGGTACTCATGATAATTAGCCCCTCTGTCAAAATGCAGGCAAGTCCAAGTGTGGAGTTTTACAACACAAATAGGCTAATTTAGTTAACTTCTTAGCAACTAGGACTAAAAATAATTAGGAAGGAAATTGAAGTTCTTGGATTAAATTAAATTTGGAAAATTACCCATGATATTATTTATCCATGCCTACCATAATAACAAGCCATTGAAATTTGATTACATAGTACATGGAATAAATAATAGCTATATAACCAGACTATTGCTAACATTCTCCTTTTATGTTGCTGTTTGGCATTATTGCTTCAGAATTCTGAGAAATCACGTATTTTTTGTGGATCAGAAATAGCATTAAAGAAGGAATTAATTCATTTTCAGTATGTCCTATTCCCACGGAATCCAGAGCAGAGTTAATAGGTACAAGGTTAAACTAATAACAAACATTGTCTTCTTAATCTTTTGATCCAGGTTGAAAAATTCTTAAAAACTAAGAATACCTTCCAGTATCAGCATCCCACACTGCGACTGTGTGATCAAAAGACCCCGTGATGATTCTGTTTCCTGAGGTGTTAAAGGACAAGGAGATGATTTCAGCTGAATGTCCCTAAAAGAGAGCAGATATCATCATGTGTACCTGTAGATAAAGCAAGCTCTACAAACGTACAATATCATAGCTTAAAAAAAAATGCCAGAAAAAGCAGAGCTATTTGGGAGAAAGAGATTAGTGGTTGGCTGGGGTGGGAATGAGGAGTGACTGCAAAAGGGCATGAGGCTTCTTTTTGGGGTGACGGAAATGCTCTAAAACTAGATTTTGCCAATGGTTGCACAATTCTTTAGGTTTACTAAAAATTGGCAGACACTTAAAGTCAGTCAGTTTTAACTCAATTAAGCTGTTTTTGCTTTTGTAAAGAAAGGAAGAGGGTGTCTTTTAGGAAATCAGAGGGCTTCTTTCACATCTTCTTGGAAACACTAAGGAGGGCTGTATGTTTTATGGGCTAATAATAGGTGACAGGCAAAAGAAAAATATTATGAAATAAAGTTAGTAGCTTTTTAAAGGGGAAATTGTTATAATAATTTAATATAAATAAATTAATAAATATCTGGCCTTTGGCCTGACTTTCACCTGGTTACAGTCTAGGGCTGACGAATCAAACTGCATGTGACAATGGGGAGGAGCCCCTCTCTGCGTTAGATTCTGCTTGGAGTATATCCCTCGTTTTCCTAATTCTTTTAGTAAATCAACATAATTACTTTTTTAAATAACACTAGAGTTATTCTGGTTGGTTCCAAATGACAAAAATTAAATGTAGCTGAACCTTGAAATTCTATTTTTTTTTATTTTTATTTTTTTGTGTGTGAGGAAGATCAGCCCTGAGCTAACATCCGTGCTAATCCTCCTCTTTTTGCTGAGGAAGACCGGCTCTGAGCTAACATCTATTGCCAATCCTCCTCCTTTTTGTCCCCCAAAGCCTCCGTAGATAGTTGTAGGTCATAGCTGCACATCCTTCTAGTTGCTGTATGTGGGACGCGGCCTCAGCATGGCCAGAGAAGCAGTGCGTCGGTGCGCGCCCAGGATCCGAACCCGGGCCGCCGCACGTGGAGCGTGCGCACTTAACCGCTAAGCCACGGGGCTGGCCCTGAACGTTGAAATTCTGATCACACAAAACAAATGTATTCTTTGGTGGCAGACAGGCGTAGGTACAAGAGCAGGACGCGTCCCTTAGGATGCTCTTAGGCATCTGTCTGAAAAAAGAAGTAAAGAAGCGGTGACCCACAGAAAAGATGAGAACGAAGATCAGAAAGACCATACTTATATTAATTAATCATGCTCGGCACTCTGATTTAAGGAAAAAAAATTCTTGGTGTTAGTTAAAAACAGTGCTTTTTCCCTTTTGTTTTTTTTTTTAGTCCAATTTTTAACTTTCTTAAAAAAACCTCTCCTAAAAAAGAGGTCCTATGTTTTTAACTAATTTATAACTTGAAAGGATAAGAAAACCGGATTTCCCATCCATCTGTTCCCACTGATCGCCACAGAGAACTGCCCTGCTTCTGTTTGGCGGTTGGGGCTGGGGTGGGAAGAAGCAGAGGGCAGCAGGTCAGAGGAGGGCGCTCAGCGTGTTGCGGCAGCGGCAGCGACAGACAATGGCCCCTGTGGAGATACACAACCAACTGTTACTCTGGGCAGCGCCCTCTGGCCTTTTCACCTCCTGCCACTTGTCTCTTGTCATTTCAGACTTCGTACCACAGGAGGTTTCTAAGACTGGAGGGTAGAGCAGAGTTGTTGACCATCATCCCTTTAAGGAATCTCCCGGCAAGGTTCTCCAGTTCTGCCTCTTCCAAAAAGTCCCAGCCTCCACCTACTTTGCTTTTAGCCAGACGGATGATGACATGTTTTAAGCTACAGTTGGTATGGCTTACAGTCTGAAGCTAGTCAAAATAAAAGCTCATCTGGCTTCCCCAGATTTCCATCTGAGTCTTTCGGAGTAGCCAGCAAACCAACTGGAACACTCTCTCACTCCAGTCTGAAAACAAATAACTCAAAAGCATCTTCTAACTGAGAGCTAATTTTGTAATAAAATTCCAAATTAAAAAAACAACACAAAGGTGATATCTCATTGTACTTTCGATTTGTAGTTCCTTAATAATTAGTGATGCTGAACATCTTTTCATGGGCATGTTGACCATCTGGATATCTTCTCTGGAAAGATGTTCATATCCTCTGCCCATTTTTTGATCTGGTTGTTTGTTTTTTTGTTGTTGAGTTGTATGAAATCTTTATATATTTTGGAAATTAACCCCTTGTCGGATATATGATTTGCAAATATTTTCTCCCCGTTGGTGGGTTATCTTTTCATTTTGTTCATGGTTTCCTTTGCCTTGCAGAAGCTTTTTAGCCTGATGTAGTCCCATTTGTTTATTTTTTCTTTTGTTTCCCTTGCCTGAGTAGACATGGTATTCAAAAAGATACTGCTAAGATCAATGTCAAAGAGTGTACTGCCTAGATTTTCTTCTAGGAGTTTTTGGTTTCAGGTCTTACATCCAAGTCCTTAATCCATTTTGAGTTAATTTTTGTGTCTAGTGCAAGATAAGGGTCTACTTTCACTCTTTTGCATGTGGCTGTCCAGTTTTCTCAACATCATTTATCAAAGAGACTCTCCTTTCTCCATTGTATGTTCTTGGCTCACCTTACACCTGTCAGGATGGCTATAATTACCAAGACAAAAAATAACACATGTTGGAGAGGATGTAGAGAAAAGGGAACCCTCATACACTGCCAATGGGAATGCAAACTGGTGCAGCCTCTATGGAAAACAGTATGGAGATTTCTCAAAAAATTAAAAATAGAAATACCGTACAATCCAGCTATCCCACTACTGAGTATTTATCCAAAGAACTTGAAATCAACAAGCCAAAGAGATTTATGCACCCATATGTTCATTGCAGCATTATTCACAATAGCTAAGACCTGGGAGCAACACAAGCACCCTTCTATGGATGAAGGGATAAAGAAGATGTGGTATATATATACAATGGAATACTACTCAGGCATAAAAAAGGAAAAATCATCCCCTTTGCAACAACATGGATAGACCTTGAGGATATGATGTTAAGTGAAAGAAGCCAGACAGAGAAAAACAAATACTGCACAATTTCACTCACATGTGGAAGATAAACAAACACATGGATAAAGAAAACAGATTAGTGGTTACCAGAGGGGAAGGGGGCTGGGGGATAGGCAAAAGCGTAAAGGGGCTCATATGCATGGTGACAGATGAAAATTAGACTACTGGTGGTGAGCACGATGCAGTCTATACAGTAATCGAAATAAAATAATGTACACCTGAAATTGCACAATGTTATAAACCATTATGATCTCAATAAAATAATTGAAAAAAAACACAAATAATAGGCTTATCCTAAGGAAAGGCTAATGAAAATGTAGAATTCTTGAAGGTATTAACATTATTAACATACTGTTAAAGTGAACACTTCCTCTCCATTCTGAATGTCCCACAGTTTGGCTGTTGTGTCCATACTTCCGGTAGCCACCAATGTGCTTTGAGGATTGAATGATAAACACACCTGAATTACATGAAATGGAAGAGGTTTTAGAAAGATAGAGGTTTCAATTGTTAGTTTTATATAGAAAAGCTCCAAGATGCAATTGCCTTAGCAGATTCAGCCTAATTCCCTGTACGATAGGCAGCACAATACCAAATATGAGGACCCTGCTACCTGCAGGTGGAATCCTGAAGCCTTCTCCTCTTGAGAAGAGGCTGCTTGTTCTTCCTCGTCACCCGGCTCAGGCTTGCAGGGGCACTGGCTCCCTTGCCACTTCCAGACCACAGAAGCACAGCAACAAAATCAAACACATTGCTTTGAGATTCATGCATGCTGGCTCCCATTCATGCTTTGCTCTGAGATTCAGGCTGGCTGGCTCCCATCTTCCTTGTTGCTGTCATCACAGTTCTTTCAAGCACACCCCCTCACTCACCAAGGACTTTGGCTACTGGCTCATAGTCTCCACTCTAAGTCCTTAGGAGGCCTTTGTGTGGGCCATCCATCCAACACCCCCAGACCCATGATCCTGGGCTCCTTTTCATAATCACTCCCATCACCACCCCCTGGACCTTGACATCACCTTCTCTAAAAGATTCACTGCCAAGACATCAATCTCTAGTTACAACTTCCCGATATTTCAGATTTCTCTCTTCCTTACCACACCCCCTTCCCCAACCAAGATATCTTCCAACTCATTGAGATCCCTTCCTTTTCTCCTGGTCCGTCATCCCCATTCAATGACACCCTGGAAGCATCACTCCTACCAGCATCCTCAACACTGTTAGTCTTGTCTTTCAACTGCACCCTCCATAATGCTCCTAACAACTTACATCAAGCAGAGATTTTACCCACTCATTTGCCCTCACTACCTCATCACTCAGCCGAGGCAGCTTAAGAAACTGGCATAGCAGATTACTGGTGTTGCTCATTCATGCCTTCTGTCCTCAACTGTGTCCTCAGCACCATTCCCCACTTTGTTTAACATGCCTCTGGCTCCACACATCCTCCCATTCCCGAGTCTTGCCCCCACTCCTGTCCTCATCCTTCCTCAGCAGATAACTCGGCCTCCTACTACTTCCCTGAGAAAATTCCTTTATCAGCTGGGAATTTCCTCACCTGGCCCTCACCCTCCTTTACTTCAGTCTCAGAGAGACCCCTTCGCCCATTCTAACACACTCTAGGGGAGATGTGCTTTTCCTTCCCTCTAGACTGCGTCCTTCCCAGTGGCCTATAAACATGCTTGAGCTCTTCCCACATAAAAACAAAGCCTCCCTTGACTCTATGTATCCCCTTTCAACTACCTTATTTCCCTTTACAACCAAATCCCTTTAAAAAATAATCTACCATCACTCACTGTTTGCCCATCTTCCATTCTTCAACTCTACTGACACCACTGGCTAAATGTCCAATCCAAGAGGCTTGGTCGGTTATCCCACTTAACCTCCCTGAGGTTCTCGATATTTTCTTCCTTCTTGATGGCTTTGACAGTGCTGTGCTTTTCTTCTCTTACTTCTTATCTCTTTTTTTGTATCTTTTGAAGGTTTCTCTTCTCTATCTTCCCAAGATTCCATCAGTCTTCTCCCCATACTCTACCTTTCCCTTGGGGCAGTTCAATTGCTCAGTGGTTTCTACCACCACCCAGATGACAGGGACACGCCATCTACGTCTCCTTCTCGGACCTCACTGCCCAGTTCAGCCCCAAAGAGCCAAGTACCAAATGGATGCCTCTATTTGGATAGCACACGGCTTTTATCCATCTGTCTAAGACACAAGAATCATAGGAAGCAAACCTGCTCCTCCTCTTTTTCATACAGAATGGTGAATGACACTGCCAGTTGCCCAGGCCTGAAATCAGGGAACCATCCTGGTTCTCCTTTTCCTTCATGCCTCATATCTACTTAGTAACCTATTTCTATCCTCCACCCTCTAACCTCTCTCACATTCTCATCACCTGCCTCATGACAGGCCTTCATCATTTTTGCTTGGACTGCAACAAGATCCCCAAGTGGCCCATACTTCTGATCTTACCTACTTTCCATTTCTCCTTCGCACTGCCAAAAAATGATCTTTCCAAAGAGCAAAACTGACCACGCCATCTCTCAGCTGAAAAGTCTCAACAGTATGGCATTATCTACAGGATAAAGTCCAAATTCCTTAGCCCAGCATATGAGACCCTCTATAAATCTGTAATATGGCCTTGTCTGCCTCTACCACTTCAATCATGCACACCCTATGGTCTGGCTTTGAATGGGTTTCAGGTGTGCCAACACACTGACACCCTTAACCCAGGCAGCTGGGCAGCACCAGGGATCCTTGCCTGTCACCTCCAACCATGGGCAGCAGGCAGCTCCCCACAGTGTGCTGCATGTCATCACCGGGGAAGGTTGGAAAGCACGCTCTGCCACACACAGCCACGTGAGCTTTCAAGCACGTGCCACTGTTGCACACTTCCTCTGGGCATTTGCCGGTGCAGCTCCCTCTGCCTGGAATACAGGTGCCACTTCTCTGCAAAGTCTTTCCTGAACACCCTCCCTGGCCAAGGAGACTTGATTGCTCCCCTCTGTGCCCTCACTGAACTCCTGCCAACTTCTAGCACACCTACAACATGTCTTTGAATTTACTCATTGACATCTCTACTCCTTCTACTATACCACAAAATTCCTAGAGAGCAAGAACTATGTCTGATTCTATTTGGAATCCCAAGCACATAGGCCAGAATTTCTCACACAGTCAATATTTAGTAAACATTTATTGGATTGATGTTGTTGACCATGAAAAATATGGATGTCTTCCTAGGAACTAAATATAGAGAAAACCTTTTCAAAATCCAAGGGAAGTGGAAACATGGCCACACTTTCAGAACGAGGATTATGCTTTTCTTATGACCTTTGGCAAGTTACTTAAGCTCTCTATGCCTCAGTATCTTCAACTGTAAAATGGGGATATATCTACCTTATAGGGTTGTTATGAGGCACAACCAAGCTAATATATGTAAAGGGCTTACACCAGTGCATTGTGCACAATGAGTGTCATTAAAGGGTCAGTTACAATTTTTCACTGCAATATCCCCAGTGTCTAGCAAAGTATCTCAAACATAGCATGAGCTCTTGTTGGATGAATATACCATGAACTTGAAGTATGTATATAAACAGATTTCACTCCTAAAATAAGCAGGCTGTTTATTTTTAAAACCTATCACTTGTTCCATAGGGTGCCAATTACCTCACTAATTGTTATAAGATGTAACACAGAGTTGGCCAAGGGCAAGGGCTTCCCAATAGTGAAAGCTATTGAGAGTATCAACCTATTCATGCAAATTTAAGTTCTAATGATATCTGGAAAACCACCAGCCTCAATATTTTACATGATATAAAAAACTTATTTTAAAAGCTATTTTAAGAATTTCATCAACCTTCATCAAGTGAGTCCATTAAAGACAAATAAATGAAAAAGAAAAAGTCAAGGTGGATATTGTACTCTTATACTTATCACATTACATGTCTACTTAGTCAATGCAGTATATCTGCAAGATATTAAAACTAGAGTAGTTTGTGAATTATATCAACACCACTATATAAAATATACATAGACCTAAAATACTGGATGACATTTTAAAATTAATTATGAAGGTAGAACCACATTAATTTTACAATGGAATCCTAAAAAGAAATTGCAATGATGTGTCAATATTGGTTCATCAATTGTAACAAATGTACCACCCTGGTGGGGGGTGTTGGTAGAGGAGCATGCTGGTAGTGAGGCATGCTGTGTGGAGGAGAGGCAGGGAGTATATGGGAAATCTCCATACCTTCCTCTCAATCTCACTGTGAACCTAAAACTGCTCTAAAAAATAAAGTCTATTAAAAATAAAGGAAAAATTTTTTTAAAAAAGAACAGCAACATAAAAAACAAAATAAAATAAATGTACTCACTATTTCTGCCGTATGACCCCTAAAGGTATGGTAACATTTTCCTGTTTCTACACTCCACAGTTTACAAGTCTTATCGAAGGACCCAGTAGCAATTTTGTCACTAAAATTTGAAAAAAAAAAAATTTGAAATCAAATCCAACCATAGTATACGACACATTGAATTAAGACAGATATTAATACATGGATCTCTGTCTATTCCGAAGTTTACTTCACTTTTAAAGCAATAAGCAATCCTATATTTGTTTCAGTGGATAGCAAAATAAAGGTCTAATTTTTTAATGATATCAGTTTACATGTTTAATTTTAAAGATTTTACATTAAAGGTATATGTTTAGGATTACAAAAATCTTTTAAATGAGCACAGTGAATATGGTAAAAGATTTAGTTTAGAAATTACTAACAAATGAAAATAATGTATGAGTTGTATAAACATAGAAAAACTCTGTTAGTATGTCTACTGAAAAGTATAAAGAAGAAAACTGAAAAGATATAAATCCAATTAACCATATAGCTAGATAAAGTTTTGAGAAGTTAGACGGTGAGTGTCTCCTTGGGAAAATAATACCTATGTTATTCCACTTGTAAGGTCTTGGAACAAGAAAGAGAGTTTAGAGACGAGAAATGATAAAGACTTTAGTCTTTTTCAAACAAGAATGTTTCGTGTTTACTGTGGAGCAAGGCTACTGTCAACACCCAACGGATAAGACTAGAATAACCTGTTAAGCTTTTGATCATGGAACTAAAATATTTTCCTTTACCCTTGTCCCCTAGCTGTCCTTTATATAGCAAGTCACCAAAATGTTCACCCAACTGGGTCACCATTTACAGTGCAAGTTCCTTGCCCAAAAGTGTGAGGGGTCTTAAGACCCAAAATACATAATCCCAAAGCAAATTATAAATGCTCAGCACAGTTGCAGGATTTATATTTGTCCAGACTAACACTGACACCTTCCTTCTCTCCTTTGTTCTCAGGCCACCCACATAGTACTTCCGTGGTCTCTAATACTAAAGGGAAGCAAGGCCCTTTCTGTCCATGCTCTGGGGACAGCTTGCTGTGGGGAATACTCATCCCCCCGTCAAAGCTTCCAAACACACAAGGCTGGTTTTCCACCCAGAGTCTCTGCACCGGCTCTCTCCTTTGACGTCCAGTCTAAGGCATTTTTCCATCAGCTGCTGCTGTCTTTCAACTTCTGCTCAAGATAGACTGAACGCCCTACGAGTTCTTCATCTGTTCCCTCCTTCCACTTTCCATCCTTCCTGCCCCTCAAACATGTCGGTCTCAAGTTGCTATTGTTTCTTGATCATTTTCTGTTCTATCACATACTGTTCTCTATATCCATATGACATCAGATTATAAAAGATTTACTAACTTCAATGTTTTTTAGAATTACTTTATTGAATCAAAGCTTACTGCTGATCTAATGTATAAAACATATAAACACTAAACTGGTTGAAGTTTGTTTCTCTCTTGCGCTCGCACACACGCGCACACACACACACACACACACACTCCCTCTTATTCTTTGGTGGTTCTCTTGAATTCACTCCACCAAAATCCCAATGCCTCCAAGTGCAATGGAAATCACTGCTTTAACCCATACATAAATCAACAGACTATGTCACTGGACAAGTTGGTTTTTCATCAGGGACACCTAGTAGAATTCAATAGAATAACCAGAAAGTGAAGGAGTGTTCCTCACCTCTCCATCCCCAGAAAACCTAGTTCTCAGATAGACATCCAAAAATGTCATGTCTGTTAAGTAGACTATTAAAGGAGATGGTACTATATTATACAGAACATACCTTTAAAATCCTTTAAATAACATTGCAATTAAAGTAGGAATTATACTAGAAGTAAAACAGTGTCATTTATAATTTCAATAAAATCTTTCTCTTCCACCATAAGTTGGTGTAATAAAGTATTATAAAAATTATCCTTCTCTACATTATAAAAATGTATGCATCAAAGTTAAATTTTCTGTAATTTACCTGGAATATTTAATCATTTTAATGTACCAATTAAGTTTTGTGCCATCACAATGTGTTTTGAAAGTGTATTACATTTTTAAAAAGATATAATGACATTAGCAACTTAGATAAGTTTCTAAAATTTGTGGTATAAAATTTCTACTCTAAGTGCATCGCATTTTTATAAAATTTCTTCTATTGCCTCTGCCACTGTCTTAGACTGTTTCCATCATCTCACAACTGTATTACTGTATCTGCCTCCTAACTAACCTCCTTGCCTACTATTTCTTCCCACCCCCAAACCCCTGACCACTTCTCTCTGCCAGAGCAATCCTGAAATAGCACTTTCATTGTGTCACTCTTTTGTTCATCAACTTTCATGGTGACTCAGTCCCCCAGAACAGAGTTCAAACTACACAGAATGCTCTGACCTCACCTATCTATTTCTCACATGATACGTTCACCAGAAAGACTGGCCGCTGAGCCTACCTGATGAAACCCCACCTGTAACACGGGGCTGCTAAGGTCCCTTGGCCCAGGGTGTCCTCACCACCCCTCTCTCCACCTTCCATCTTTCATGCTTACGCTTTAGTCTCACAGCATCCTTAAAGACCCCAACCAGGAGAAATCACCATGATCTCTTCCTCCTCTTAACTTTTAACCATTCACTGCTTTGTTCTAGTCATCATAACACTGCAGTAAAAGAAACATATTTGTTGAACTCACTTGGTTAATGAGAAAAGTCAATTCAAGTGGCCAATCACAAAAAAGATAGACAGGCTAAAAATTTTTACTCAAATATATACATCCATCTGCCAATCTTTTGACAAGAGGCCAAGGCCTTTTCAACTAATTGGAGTTCATTATCTGTCTTACAGGAATCATGCCCAACCTCTATAATTTCCAATTTTCTTTTCTTTAAAGTAGAATGAGAACTTAAAGAACTTAAACACACTTGCAGAAAATTTGAGTGCCAAATTTTTCTAAATTTTTACAATAGGTTTTCTAATTTTTACATTGGTCTCATCTACAACTTTACTTAGTAACAATTTTTCAAAGATTTACCTTATCTATGTTTTCACAGAAACAACAGCTTTATTTTCACACTCGTATTTCATTAGTTTAAGCAGTATTTAATTAAATTACATATTAAATTACATAATTACAATTGAAAGCACAACCAACATAAGCAGGTTTGTGGACAAATACAACTAACTCTTGATTAGCTTAGAGCCCAGCCAGTGGGAAGAGAAGTTAAGCATACCAGTGGGTAGCCTAGTTGCTGCAAGCATCCAGGGAGCCACGAGTATCAGTATGTTGCACAGAAGGATAGAGAATGTTGGTTAATTCAATTGAATTGGGTAACTAGAGGTTGGTTTAAAAATGCTTCTATTGTATTTGGTACTTAGCATGTTACTATACGTACTTTTTTTCTACCTGGTAAGACTAAGTAAACCATGCTATGTATCCCTGCATTCTCCAGAAGCATCAGCCCAGTGCTATAACATCAGTAGGAGCTGCCTGTCCGAGAACCCCCAAGGGCAGAGAGTCAGCCTTGCTCAACCTTGAAATGTAGCTCTCTTCTTAACTACCGTGTGATCCTGGGAAGGGTGCTTGAACTTTATGTACTTTATCCGAGGACAGTAATACCTATCCCAAAGCTCCTCTAAGCACTGAAGGAGGTGTTTAAAAGGCTTTCAAAGCACACATCAAGCACTCAATAAATTTTAGTTCTGTGTCTTCTTCCTTTCCTCTCCCAATAGATGGAGTAAGGGATGAATTAATGGATTAATTAAGGAATAAGTGAATGAATGAATGTCTTTTTACCCATAAGGATTGTTGAACGCTATGGCATAAACCACATTCCTGTGCCCCTCCAGAGTGTGCAGCTCCTCTCCAGATGCAGTGTCCCAGAGTTTGCATGTCCGATCGTAGCTTCCTGTGATAAAGCTAACACAAGGAATATAAATAAATCCCAGGGCGAGAATAGCAGTGTTTTAATCAAGACCTCCTTTTTTACCTGCAGGATACTAACCCATTTACCTTGTTTTTGTTTTGTTTTGTTTTGGTGAGGAAGATCAGCCCTGAGCTAACAACCATGCCAATCCTCCTCTTTTCGCTGAGGAAGACTGGCCCTGGGCTAACATCTGTGCCCATCTTCCTCCACTTTCTATGGGACGCCGCCACAGCATGGCCTGACAAGCGGTGTGTCGGTGCGCACCCAGGATCTGAACCAGGGCGGCCAGCAGCGGAGCGCACGCGCTTAACCGCTACGCCACAGGGCCGGCCCCTACCTTGTTATTTTTTATGATGGAAATTGTGTATGCAGAACAAACAGTTAACTTGGGAACAATATCTAAATCCTTTGACTTAGAAACTGCCCAATTTTATCCCAAACCCAAAAATGAGTCACTAAATAAAGAATAATCCTGCCAAGAATTATTCTCATAATATCAATAACTATATAATTAAATAATGTTAATAATAAATAACACCTTCTGAAACTCTAATATAGCTCAATTAACAGTATCATCCTTCCAGTTGGTCAGACCATAAAATCTTAGCAGCATCTTCTATTCCCCTCTTTCCCTCACATCCCACCCACAAGCTAATAGTAAATTCTGTTAGCACAATCTCAAAATACATCCCTAGTACGGCCATTTCTCACCAGCTCCATTGGCTCCATCTCTTGCCTAAATAAGTGAAACCATCTTCTAATGGGTCTTGGCTCACACATGGCCCTTACAAATCAAATATTTTCCTCACAGAAATTGGAGTTATTTTTTAACGTTCCTCAAATGGCTTCCTAGCAATCTAGAGGTAAATTCAAACTTCTGCTCATGGTCTACGAGGCCAGCATCCTTGGCCATCTCTGGGAATCTCAACTGCTCCCAAAAGCACATCCTGACCAGTCACACTCACCTTCTCACTAGTCTCTGAAGAACTGGATTGTTTCTTTTATATTTGCTAGTCTTTCTACCCATTTCTTTTATATTTGCGAGTTTACCACCATCATCCCCAGGACCTGGAACAATGACTGGCACACTAGTAAGTATTCAATAAATATTTGTTTAACATTTAAAAATCCTTTAACATGACTGTTCTACTACAGGAATAGTTAGTATATTGACCTCTAATATTTTAACTCAAAATAACAGTATCTTAGTTATTCCTTAAATATTCCATTAGCAAAGATATTTCCCTAACAGGAAAAAAATGCACAAAATTGAAAAGCCAGATTGAATGTCAAGTGGTAGTGATAAAAAGTGAAAACAAACTCTGATATGTAAACTCAACTCAGTAGGAAGGTTGACAAGGCAGTGTATCTCTGATTCTCCTCTAGACATTTTCCTCCTAGCTTCTTTGGGAACATAAATTGATACAGTCATTATGGAAGACAGTATGGTGGTTCCCCCCAAAATTAAAAAATAGAACTACCATATGATCCAGCAATCCCACTTCTGGGTATATATCCAAAGGAAATGAAATCAGGATCTCATAGAGATATCTGTACTCATGTTCACTGCAGCATTGTTCACAGTAGCCAAGATATGGAAACAATTTAAGTGTCCGTCAAGGGATGAAAAGATAAAAAAAAAATGTAGTGTAAAATAAAGGAATATTATCCAGCCATGAGAAAGAAGGAAATCCTGCCATTTGTGACAACATGGATGAACCTGGAGGACATTATGCTAAGTGAAATAAGCCACACACAGAACGACACATATAGTATAATGTCACTTATATGTGGCATCTAAAAAAAAGAAAGTTGAACTCACAGAAGCAGGGAGTAGAACGGTAGTTACCAGGGGCTGGCGAGTGGGAGAAATGGGGAGATGTTGGCTAAAGGATACAAAGTTGCAGTTACGTAGGATGAATAAGTCTAGAGATCTAATGTATGGCATGATGACTACAGTTAATAATACTGTATTGAATATTGGAAATATGGTAAGAGAGTAGATGTCAAGTGTTTTCACCACACTCACACAAAAAATGGTAACTGTGAGAAGATATGTTAATTAGCTTGACCCTAGTAATTATTTCACTACATATATATATATCAAATCATCATGTTGTACACCTTAAATATATGTAATTTTTATTTAAAAAAAAAATTTATCCCTTGATTGTTAAAAATCAGAAATAAAGAATAGAAATGGAAATAAATAGGCAGAGCGCAGATGAATCTTAGGGCAGTGAAGCTGTTCTGTGTGATACTATAATGGTGGATACACATCATACATTTGTCAAACCCATAGAATGGACAGCACCAAGAGTGAACCCTAATGTAAACTACGGCCTTTGTGATAATGATGTGTCAATGTAGGTTCATCAACTGTAACAATCGTAGGCCTCTGTGGGGGATGTTGATAGTGGGGGAGGCTATGGATGTGTGGGAGCAGGGAGTATATGGGCAATCTCTGTATTTTCCACTCAATTTTTCTATGAACCTAAAACTGCTCTAGAAAGAAAGTCTAATAAAAAAATGTTTTAAATAAATAGAGAACCTTACCAAGAGCCCGATTTATTAAGTGCAACATTAGTCAACGGCAGTATATGTGCTCTGAGAACCTTCAACGAAAGAAAACACCACTTGTTTTAAACTGAAAGTTTGGTTTAATTCATTAATTTAAATTCAAACCAATGAAGACATTCAAGTTTGCCTTAATTATACATAATAAATGGACAATATCCAATATCTGAACAAATGAGAAAATGTACGTTGTACTGTTTATTATGGAGACGGATAATACATTTGATAGTTACAAATAATTACAAAAACATAATTGTATCTGTGTTTTCCATCAATTTGCCTTTAAGACAAATTATGGCTATTAAAGAAGATACCAAATAGCACTAATTACAATGTTTTCTTTTACATATTGCACACGGTTTTGTATGAACAGTGTATAGAGGAAATACATTAAACATATTTCAAACATAGATTCTACAATGTACTACTACTTTTTGAATCCTAAAGCTCCTTTAGAGTCAGGATTTCAATCCCTACATTTTCTACCATTGACATATTATTGAACGAATATGCTTAAATTGGATAGTTTCTTTATTGATAGAGTGATTGGCTAGGCTGGGACAGTCCCAATTATGTCTGCTCCCCGAGTATAACTACTAATAGTGCCCCCTTTCACTATCAAAAACATTCCCTTTGGAGGATAAACTATGAGGTCTCGCTAGTTATAGAGCTCATATTTGAAGTTAAATAGTGCCACCTGCTGGAACAAGAAATATTACAAGAATAATCGCATCCTCTTTCAGTATTGAATGGATTAATACAAAAGATTGCCTGGATATTCGGTATCAGATAGAATATGCTCAGTACATAAATAATAATTATATTTTATTATAATTATATTTAAATCATAAAAAATTAGTTACTATGAAGCAATTCTAGAATAAACTATTAAATATTGTTAAATAATAAAGAAAAAATAAGAGCTGATCTTGAAGTAATAAATGACTACATTTGTCATATTTTTAATTTAATCATCAAAAACTATAGAGAAAAATGAGCATATTTACACTACATTAAAATCATTATATAAGCCATTTCAATAAATAATTTACTGAAATACAGTTAGTTCACATGGAAGGAGAAAATTTGAAATATTGATATATCATGAAACATATCATATCATGATATTCAGTAACAAACTGTTTGAATGATATTCAAACAAACATATCATATCATGATATTCAGTAACTTAAAACTACCTTAATGGTTATCCTCTAAATTTATCATTATAAAGAAGAGATAAACTTACTACAATTAGACTTATTCATTTAACTTCTCAAGAAATAAATGTTTGGATGTCATTCCTTCATTCAACAAACATTTATTGAGACAGTCAGCAAATATATGTGAAGCACTGAGGGAAAGAGAAAGCATGATTTGTATTTTACCTCAAATTAATAGCATACCAATTAATTCACTGAAATTCTTCTACCTAGTATTTTTTAAACATGCATTACCTTAAAAAGATAGAATCTGTGGTTGCTGTGCTGTCCAAGTTTCTCTTGTAATCTCTGTATTAAAAGTTTTACTTGGTCTGTTCGTGAAGCTGTGATTAGAGGTTCTGCTTTCTGAATCTCTTCTACTAAAGCATCGACATCAGTACTGAAATTCACACACCATACAAAAATGTTACTTTTTTCTATACAAAAAATGCATATACATTCATGACATGAAGAATGGCAATGAAGCACCACATTTATATAACGTCAAGAACACCATCATCTTTACCAAGAAAATTCTGGGGGAAAAAATCACACAGATCAATAACGAGCATCGTGGCACATGCAAGCTGCTTGGGTTCTCTAGAATCATTTTATTAACTGAGATTTCTCCCCTGGAAGGTGTGCAAAGATTCTGATTTTCTTACCTAAGAGGGCCAAGGGCATCCTGGTTCTGAACATGAGCTCTTTCTCTTTATTTTTTTCTTGTTTCATTTTTTCTTTTCTTTTTTTTTGTGGTGAGGAAGATTGGCTCTGAGCTAACACCTGTGCCAATCTTCCTCTATTTTGTATGTGGGATGCTGCCACAGTATGGTTTGATGAGCCGTGCGTAGATCCACACCTGGGATCCAAACCCGCGAACCCTGGGCCACCGAAGCGGAGCATGTGAACTTAACCACTACGCAATCGGGCTGGCTGCTTTTTCGTTTCTATTAAATGAACATATATTGAATGTGCCTGGTACTGCTATACTTTCCACTTTACATGTGTTCTGTCATGTAATCCTATAACAACCCTCTAATTCAATGCTTTTATCATAACTATTTTAGCGATGAAGAAAATGAGGTTCAGAAAGGTTAGGTTTTAAATATTTTTAGGGAAAGAGAAAGTACCTAACTAAAAATAAACATTCAAAGAATTATTATTATCATTATTACTATTACTATTTCTTATGGGCTATAACATTATTTCCCTCAAAGAGAATTTGTCTGAAATGTAGATTCAAGTTTCCCCAGTATTCAATTCTGGTAAATTTTGCTAGTCCAGAATAATATTAGTTCAAGACAAATATTAAAGTCTATTTTTTTTTAATTTTGTGTTTATTGCAGCAACATTGGTTTATAACATTGTAAAAGTTTCAGGTGTACATCATTGTACTTCTATTTCTGCATAGATTACATCATGTTCACCACCAAAATACTAATTACAACCCATCACCACACACATGTACCCAATTATCCCTTTCACCCTCCTCCCTCCCCCCTTCCCCTCTGGTAACCACCAATACAATCTCTGTCCCTATGTGTCTATATACCACAAAGGATCCAAAGTAGGGTCATTTTGCAAAACACTTCACAAATATGTATGAAGAAAGGACTCGCGGCCCAGCTGGGAGGGAGATGTTTGGTTGGCTGACAGCCTCCAGCTCAGCTCCTTCAGGATCCGCCTGAGCATGTGAGCCCAGGGCGTGCTCTTCTTGGTGGCCCTCAGCCCACGGCTGAATAAGAGGGTGGTACAAGAGCCTGGCCGTTACTGCCCCATGAGGGACTCCATTAACCGGCAGGCTTTGCTCCGGAGCTCCCCTGTGGACAACAGAGATTCTCTTGTCCAATCTGCATCATTATCATCCTGGCTGATGGCTCCTCCTGCCCGACCCTGCTTCATCCCCTGGTCTGTCACAGGTGTCACTTTCCAATAACCTTTTACCCACCTACCTCTGTCTCAGCATTTGCTTCCCAGAAATATGAACTCTGATAAGCATCTCCCTCCTCTTCATAAAGAAACGTTTCCTGAGCTCCAGTGCTGTGAAGGCGCTGAGCTAGGACACTATTCATTCAGCTAACATTTACTGAGTACCTAGTATAGATTAGGCCCCGGGAGTGTAAAAGATACGGTCCCAGCTCTCAAGAAATATGATCTATCAGAATGGGAGTGAATATTTGGAATGGAAATGAATCTGAGACAGTTTATAACGATGACTTTCATAAACTCCAAGAGATTCAGTTGTTGAAAGAGTTATACTTTCATAAGAATTAAAAAGATAATAATGCCTCTTGGAAAGATTTCCAACAGCTATTATGAATCAAAACAGATTTTCTAGCAAGATCTAAATTAACTAGATATTTAATCCATACACCACCACCCTGTAGTATTCTAATTGCTATCTTCCAATACAGTAACTGCAGTATGTCACATATACTGCAGGTATTTTTATGTGCAGAACTCCTCCAGATTCTTGGCCAGAATCAGAAATCAGGTCCATATTTTTTTAACTTTGAGACATTTATTTACCACATAGGATGACTACAGCACCCTATGGAGAAGTCCAACCTTTGATCACAGTGTTCAGAGCTCCTGGTTTCACAGCCCCACAAGCCTTCTTTGAAATGACCTAAGAATCCATACATTTTAAACATAAAATTTTTGTTTTTACTGACTTTCCAGCTGGAAGTCATTCTCTCATATAAGTTTATCCATACCATTCATACGATATTTTATTTTGTACAAGTTGTTTCTCAAACTAAACAACAAGCCCATGGAGGGTAGCAATTATGATTAGTATCTTTATAGCCTCATAGAATCTAACCTAGAGCTTTGCATGCAGGACATACAAATACATGATTGCTGACTAAATACATTTATGTCTAACAAAGGAACTTTCTTCATGCTGGCATAATCACACGAATCAGGAATATAATCCATTTACAAAAATAACAAGCTTGATTTGATCTTAGGCCTTGCCTTCTCTGAAAATAGATTAAACAAGGATTGTTGTAGATGAAGTTCAATGATATTATCTTTGCCACCATTTATTCTTTGATTTTTTTTTTTTTAAAGATTTTATTTATTTTATTTTTTGCCCCCAAAGCCCCAGTAGATAGTTGTATGTCATAGCTGCACACCCTTCTAGTTGCTGTATGTGGGACTCGGCCTCAGGATGGACAGAGAAGTGGTGCCTCGATGCGCACCCGGGATCCGAACCCGGGCCGCCAGCATCGCAGCGCGCGCACTTAACCACCAAGCCACAGGGCCGGCCCTGATTTTTTTAAAAAATACCTATTAAGTACCTTCTCTGTGCCAGCCACCTGGAATAAGACTTGGACTCTATCCAAGCCGTCATCCTCTGAGCCACACCCTGTCCTCAGCCTAAGAAAGTGTACCACTGAAACTCCAAACCTCCAGTGACAGCCACTCTCACCGGCCATGAGGCCTTTTGGGTTCATTTTAAAACTAGGGAGCAGTTCATCTACTATTTCATTTTGGTTATGAGAGTGGTCCCTTTGCTGACAGTCTCTGTTCCCCTCCCCACTAATCATCACAAAGTAAAAGGACCGTCACAACGGAAAATCACTTATCTCACTGGGCGACAACCCTAAAACACATATCATGGTATTTTTGTTATATTTTTTTATTTTCTCCCATCGAGAATATTTTCACTTTATCTGCACTTGGGCTCAGATATAATCTGGAACAGGTATAATCAGTCTCTTGAAGTGGAGTTTTGCATAAGATTCCCCAAAGGGAATGAATTCTGGGCAATTTGATCTCACAAGGGGATTTCCTCTGGGCGCACAAGCTTCAGAGACAAAGATTTGGTCCTCCCAACTCTGCCCCGCGACAATTAACAAGGAGGATACTACGCAGTCAGCCCTAGGAGACATTTATCTACTAAGAAAATAACAGGCTCAGCAATACTCTTAAAATTCAATAACCAGCATTCCTCAAAAATGTGAAGGTCATCAAAAATAAGGAAAGTTTTGAGAAACTGTCACAGCCATCGGAAGCCTAAGGAGACATGATGACTGAATGAATGTGGCGTCCTGGATGGGATCTTGGCAGAGGAAAAGAGAATTAGGCAAACGCTAAGGAAAACTGAATGAAATGCTCCCTTTAGTTAATAATAATGCATCAATACTGGTTCATTAATTGTGACAAATGTACCATACTAAGCTAAGATGTTAATAATAGGGGAAACTAGGTGTGGGGTATGTGGGAACTCTGTCTTCACAACTTTCCTAAAACCATTCTAAATTAAAGTTTTATTTATTAAAAAAAAAACAGCTCTGTTTAGGAAGAAAAAGAGGTCAGACTGACAACCCTTTTCCCATCTTCTCTTCATTTAGCAAGACACTCGAGTAGAACTCACTGAAACAAACAGGAAATAGTACAGCACAGAAGAACAATTTTTTCTGGTAATGTGTTGTCTCTAGTTTATGCAGCCCATCCACACATCACTCTACATCAGGGTTTTCCAATAAAAATTCTGGATATGAAATACATGTTGCATTCCATAGCCAGCTTACCTGGGACCGAGATCAAGCAAATCTATGGATTTGGTCTTTAATTCTCCACTCTTTTCATATTCCAACATAATTCCTATAAAAAGAAACAAACATGTTATAAAACATTTATAATGACAATCTATGTCAAAAGTTAATCTACTTTTTTTTTTTTTTTTTTTTGCTGAGGAAGATTCGCCCTGGGCTAACATCTGTTACGAATCTTCCTCTATTTTATATGTGAGCCGCTGCCACAGCTTGGCTGCTATGAGTGGTATAGGTCCATGCCTGGGAACTGAACCAGGGCCATTGAGGTGGAGTGTGCTGAATTTAACCACTAGGCCACTGGAGCAGCCCTAAAAGTTAATCTACTTTTTTACATAATTTTTTTCATTTTTCAACATAAAACATATTCAGAGATGTGATTCTAAAACAAGATTGTGTAGACTCACTTTTCCCTGGTCCTTCCTCTAAAGACAACAAAATACCTTTGAAATCATTCAGCAGACAATGCTAAAATAATTGAAAGTTGGACAGAAGAAGGTGGACTGGCTAGAGACCTCAGGATTTAAGGAATGAGTGTCTTGGGTTTTCTTTGATCTGCCATATACCCCAAACTGAGGACCAGACGGGCTTGCAGCCTGGAACCACAAAAAGCATAGACAACACAAACCAAAACCCAACAACAAAGCTTGCACTCTGTGGTCAAAGGACCAGGAAAAGGATAGTCAAACAAAACAATAAAGGGGATCCCTAAACCCTGCTCCACAACTGGGGCCCCTGTGGGCCGTCCAACCCACCAGTGGAAGCCCTGGGCTGTCCCAGTCCCCACTACACAGCTGGGCCCCAGCAGCAGTCTGATCTGCCTGCAGCAGCTGCCAACAGCAAAGCCCCAGACTTTCTCAAGCCCTGCTTCTCAGCTGGGGCCCCACTGGGCTATCTGATCAGCCTAGAGCAGTGTCAGCAAAGTCCCAGGATCTCCCAGACCCCACTCCACAATGGAGCCAATGGTGGGCAGTCCCATCCACCTGCAAAAGGGACAGCAGTGCAGTCCTGGGATGTCCCAGACCCCACTCCACCAACCAGGCATCGAAGCAGTATTGTCTCCCTGCCTTTGAACCAGTGGCATAACCAGGCCCAGGGGCTTGTCCTCCACCCACAGAAGGTCACCCAGTGAGAGCAGGCAAACCAGGAAAGTACCTTCTTCCCCTGAAGGTGGCACCAGCAGAGACTGAGCAGAAACCTCGGCAGCACCAGAAAAACAAAGCAGACCAGAATAACACTGCAAGGGCTCAGAAAACTAAACTGCCCTTGGAACTAAAGCCCACAAGAGTAGACCAGAACATATATACTAAATCTAAACATGCAGACAGCCTGCTAAAATAGATTTAGAGAGGATCAAGAATCTCCTAACATAATAACCAAAATGTCCAGGGTACAATAAACAGGAAAAGGCAATCAATGAACCCCAATACCCAGGATACAGTAAAAAAATCACCCATTGTACCAAGAACCAGTATTGGTCAACAAAGACCAATACTGAGACGAACGAGATGCTGGAACTACCCAACAAGGATTTTAAAGGAGGTGTCACAAAAATGATTCAACAGTCATTTAGAAATTCACTTGAATTTGTAAAGAAATGCAAAATTCATTTGAATTTTGAATGAAAACATGCAAAATCTTAAAAAATAAATAGAAGTTATTAAAACAAACCCAATGGGAATTACAGAACTGAAAAATACAACAGCCAAAATGAAAAACTTGCTGAATAGGTTCAACAATACAGCAGAAATAACAAAGGAGAGAATCAGTGAACTTGAAGACAAATCAATAGAATATATTCAATCTGAACAACAGACAGATAACAAACTGAAAAAAAAACTGAGCAGAACCTCTTAGCCAGTTAATTGTACATTTATGAATACGGACCAGTGGATCTCAAAAGTTTTTGCCTCAGGACCACTTTACATTCTTTAAAGTATTGATGACTCCAAAGAGTTTTTGTTTTTGTAATATTTTCCATATTAAAGTTGAGGTTTTTTTTTATTTAAATAGCAGTAATAAACTCATATCACGTTAACATAAATAACATATTTTATAGAAATAACTATATTGCTCAAAACAAAAAAAAATAAGAAGAGTAGCACTGTTTCATGTTTTTGCAAATCTCTTTAATATCTGGCTTAAAGACAGCTGGATTCTCATCTCTGCTTCTGCATTGAGCTGTTGCTATAGTTGCTTTGGATGAACTATAAAGAAGAAATCTGGTCATACACAGATATGTAGTTGGAAAAACGAAGAAACGTTTTAATTGCCTTTTCAGATGATTATGGATATTCTTCTTTGATACTACATTAAAACTTAAAAAATGGTAGTTTCATAAAGATTGGTTGTAATATAGAATCTGAAAACACATCAATGAACTCTTCATATCCTGTTACATTAAAATCTATTGGTCCATCTCACACTTTCGAAGGATATTTTATCCACATGTGATTTGTAACATCATGCACCAGATATTTGAAAAATATCAGTATACTGAGTTATGCATATCTTCTAAATGTTGAACATAGTTCATAATACAATATCCAAAAACTCGCATTTGTTAATATCACTACCAATATCTATCACAGGAAAACTCTTTTACTGTTGGTAAGCTGTCAAGCTCATGGTGGTACATATAAGTTTACTGAAATTCTAATTTTTGCTTGAAAGCTCAAATTTTACCCCTGGCAAGAAATGCTGACAGTTTTTCTTGAAAGTTTCAGGCTCAGGCTTTGTTCATTTTCAAGAAAATGTCTGTCAAATATCCAAGTCTGAAAACCATGTTTGTTTCTCAGTCAACCTTTCAAGTAAAAACGGTATTCCCTGAAAAAAACAGCTAGTTCATCTCTCAACTCAAAAAACTGCCCAACTGCTTTCCTCAAGACAACTGTCATATATCACTGTGCAGCAGGAGTGCCTTATGAGTATTTTCTATTTCATCACTCAGAATACATGTACTCATATGTCAGTATTTCACTACATTCATAAGCCTTACTGCATCACCAAGGACATTCTTAAGTGAAGCTGAGGGTTTTTTTTTTTTTCCTACTGCAAGTAGGTGCCAGTGCAGAAGACAATGACCACTACTAGAGTTGGTGCCACTGCCTTGATTTCTAGTAAGTCACCATCAGTTTCACACTGCACTGTTTTTGCACCATTAGTGCAAATGTCAACACAGTGGAAAAAAGCGAATGATACCTTATTGTTATTATGAAAAGAGATTTGACCTTGAGGCCCCAGTGAAAGGACTCAAGGGCTCTCAGGGATCCCCCTACAACTTGAGAATCACTGCTATAGACCGGAATTTGATATAACAGATAAGATTCCAGCAGCATTTCAGATCAAGGGAAAATAAAGAATTCTAATGAAACACTGTATTTACTTTCAAAAGCACTGAGCTATTGAGATGGCATGTGGCGGAGGTGAAAAGGCATGTACCTGGTGTCAAACAGATCCAAGTTTGAGTTCCAACTCAACTCTTTACTTATTTCATGGTACTAGTAAATAATCTCTTTATTTTTCTCATCTGTGGATAATACCTTCATTTGCTGCTCGAGGTTAAATAATATATATATAAAGTACCTGACACACAGTCTCGCTGAACAGCACTTATTATCTAGCTATGAACCAAATACCACCTTGTGACATATCCTACATGGTCACCTTGTATTATTACTTAAACTGCATCTATGCCTTCTCTCCCCAGCGAGACTGTAATGTCTTTAAGAGAAGAAAACGTGTGCTTCTTTATACTCCCAGGAGGACCCCTCCTCAGAGTGAGTCATGGTGATGTATGCACAGTAGGCACATGATTTGGCCAGGTTCAAGTACAAGCAACACTGTGAAATGGACAATACTTACACCTTCCTCTCTCTGGCTTCCATTGCTCCCTCAATGGTGCCTGCTTCTCCCCATCATCTTCATGATCTTTCCATTTTCTCTCCTACCAACATCTAACTCACTAGACTGTGTGCTCCTAAGTCGATCTTCTCCTTATCCCTAGTGTCTACCATGAAATTTGGTACAAAAGAAATGTTCACAGTGCTGGTTGAACACATGAACTAACTGGTAGGTGACTGGATGAATGTCCCCAGATTGCTTAAAGCAACTGACACTCCCTGTCTGTATAGCATGTGGCCTTTCAGAAATCATCAACACCATAACCAACTCCCTCCTTCCTCAAATACCATTCTCAATAGGCTTTTATGAAATCTCTCCATCTTTTTCTCCACTCTGTTACTTCTCATTCCCCTTTACTGGTTCCTCCCCTTCTGCCTGACCTTTAATACTGCTGGTCTTTAGGGTTCAGGTCTAGGAATTCTTCTCTTCTCACTTTACATTGTTTCCCTATATAAATTCACCCATACTCGTGGCTTTAATTACCATCAATATACCAACAATTACCAGTTGGAACTTTCCAGTCTGGACCTCCTCTGGGTTCCAGACACATAGATGTCTCGCCTGCACCTCATACAAGTTCAGGATTTTTCTCTTCAATCCTGCTTCTCCTCCAGAGTTTCCTTCTCAGGGCCAGACATCACCACTCACCCAGCTGCATAACCACAGTCTTGGAAGGAATTCATCTCAACAGTCTCAATGAGTTGGCACAACCTAAGCAGAGAACTCAAGCAACTGTTGTGTAATGAAGTGTAACATTTCAGAACAGAAAAATCATTCCAAATGATTTTTTTGTGTGTGTGTGAGGGAGGTCAGCCCTGAGCTAACATCCGTGCTAATCCTCCTCTTTTTTTTTTTTGCTGAGGAAGACCTGCTCTGAGCTAACATCTATTGCCAATCCTCCTCCTTTTTTTCTTCCCCAAAGCCCCAGTAGGTAGCTGTATGTCATAGTTGCACATCCTTCTAGTTGCTGTATGTGGGACACAGCGTGGCCGGAGAAGCATTGCATCGGTGCGCGCCCGGGATCCGAACCCAGGCCGCCAGTAGCGGAGTGCATGCACATAACCGCTGAGCCACCGGGCCGGCCCCCAAGTGCTTTTAATGACTCAACAAAACTGCCCAGAACTCCATGACACAGCAGGCAAACAACTG